AGGGAAAGAAGGAGAGAGGCACCACATGTAAATTTTTGGAGGAAAAAGATAAAATGTAAGTTGCTATTAATTTTTGGAGCGATTGCCAGTAATTAATAATGAGGGGAGATTAGGGTTTGGAGTTAGACACTGAAAAAGGTTGCAGTGAAGTGTCATTTTCTGGTTTAGAGTTGTCTAAGTACATACATGTCTGTCTGGGCATACATTTCCGTGGGGATTATTTTCTCCCCATCTAAGTAAACCAAGTAATATATTATCTTTTACGTTCACACCTTTTTTGTTTACAATAAACTAAATACTCCATTTTCATTTCATCTATATATTATCTCTTTTGTTTATTATTGATATATAGTTATTTTCGCATGCATAACTGTATATATTTATATATATAACTATGCTAGAAAAGTCATTAGATCTGATTTAGTTTTTGTGAAAGCTCATATCATATAAATATATAAACAGGTTAATATAATTAGTTTTTAGTAATAAACTGTACGTATTAAAAATTTTAATCTACAAATACTTCGATTTAAAAAGGATGAACTGCAACAACAGTATTTATGACCATGGAATATAGAAGCTAAAGTTTAAGAAGAGTTACAAGAATACGCTTGCCTTGAAGTGTAATGTGTTACATGTAACAGCCTTGGATTTTGAGAAATCAGTAAAGAAGTGAAGTTCATGTACACACTTTTTTAAGTTATCCAACAATTTATTAATCAAAAGAAAAATGTTCTTTCAATCCCTTCAACAAAACTTGTTAAATTTTTTTTATTTTTTATGATAAGGGTATTAATTAAATAAAAATTAATAATTTAATAGTATGATTTTTTTATTTTATAAAATCATTCAATACTTTCTCTACCTAAATAGTCAGTTTGGTTTCTTTTTGGATTTACAAGATATATTAATAGTGTTATCAAGACTCTTCCACTCCAATTCCACTAAACTGTTAATATTACTATTTTATTTATGTAAAATTAAAGTAAAAGAGATATTTTGTGTTTATTGAATAATAAAATAAATAAAAAATAAATCACATTATGGATAGTTACGTGAATAATTATTTGAAGAGGATAAAAAATTGAGATAAAAAAGACATTCAAAGATAAAAAGTGATTTCGATTGATAAAAAAAATAAAAGAAGATAAAATAATCCATACAAAAATAAAGATTAAAACAATTATTAAAAGAGATATTTTCTTTATATAATATTATAAATTATTAGACCATGTCTATTTTAATTTAATTTAATTTGATTCTTTTGGCTGCCTTTATCTTTAAATTATTTTATTAACTATATGAAATGAAATAATTGTTTTGCAACTAACATTCGTTAACATAATTTGGTAGTGACTTATATATTTTAATCAAGTTGTTTCTTAACTAAATCATTAAAAGTTTGAAACTTAACTTTTAAATATGAAATAAATTATGTTGGAAGGTAAATATGTGATTACCTTATATGTGTTCATGGTCACAAGAGAGATCAACAACTATTTTTCACAAAAATATTTTATATTAATACTATGATTATTAAAATATTTTATATTAATACTATAATTATTAAAAAAAATGATTATTTAGCGGTAGTGCACAAGATTACACTCAATTTGCACATTCACTAAAATATTTGATTTTAAAATAAATTTTAAACTTTTTTACTTATTCCTATCTTTTTTATAAGACTCAATTACATAATTTACTGGGATTAAAAAAATTGATTAATTAAATTAATAATAATAAATTTATCTTAATTTTATTTATTTTTTATTATTATCCTTAATATTAATGAGAATTATACACTATCAACAATATATAAATAATTTTAATTAAAAGTATTTTTTTTAAATTAATTAATATAAGAGACGTTTTAGATTGATTTTATATAAAGAAGCGGACATCGCTTTTTATTTGAGTATTATAAAAAGCACTGTAGAGAAAATTATTGTATTATTAAAAAAATCGATATAATATATAAATGCATAAACTTATTTTTCGAATATTCACGTGTTTATTCGTTCATAATGTTATTGTTGAGAATTGAATATATATATATATATATATATATATATATATATATATAAGCG